CACCGGGCGGCGCCTGCACCTGGCGCTGGGCTGGGCGCTGGTACCTGGGGCGCGCGGTCAACGCGGGGGCTGCGCCTGGTGCTCGAAAATGTGTGCTGAGTGCTGTACAGAGGCGGGAGAAGGAGTTGATGTTACATTTGAACTCAGTGAAGGGCCATGTTGGCCCACTGGTGAAGTTTTAGTGTCTCCTGACCTGGAGGCACTTTTAATTTTAAAACCTATCCAGCCCATTGGTGTTGGGTGTCATTGATGAATGTGCAGTTTCTTTTTCTTTTTCCCCATTTGTTTACTATCCTCAGTTTCTACTATGTGTGACGATGAGTGACCCTAGAACTAAATAATATCAGTGACAGATTGACGATTTGATATTGAGATATACAGCTGGGATTTTTTTTGTTTTCATCATCTTCTACCTTTAGATTTTTTCTCGTATGATACAGAACTACTGTCTAATTGACAGACCCTTGTCTTTTTTCTTTTTATTTAGTCAAAAATACATGGACGTGATGGTCCTAGATAATATTAGATTGCTTACTAAGCACTGTGCCAAGTGCGTTCGTAGACACATTTGTTTCTTACAACCCCCAAAATAGGTCATTTTATCTGTTCTAATTTTGCAGAGATTACATGAACTCCCCTGGAGGTTACATAAAAGTTGATGCTGACAATAGATCCCCATTCCTTGGACCCTTGACCACCTTGCAGGACTAGTAGTAACCTGTCACATGTTTCCAGGTTCTGGGAAACATTGCTGTTACAGTCACAGTCATGGGCCACATAATAGTGCTTCAGTCAACTGCAGATGGATGGTCCCATATTATAATGGAACTGAAAATTTTTCTGTCACCTGATGATGTCATAGTGCAGTGCATTACTCACATGCTTGAGGTGATGCTGGTGTAAACAGACCTGTGCTGCCAGTAGTATAAAAGTAGGACACAGTTGACCCTTGAACAGCTGAGGTTAGTGGCTTATACTCCTGCCAAGTGGAAAATTCACACATAAGTCTTGACACTGGAGTCGCCTTTCCCATCTCTGGGTTTGACCAGCCATGCATGGAAAACGGTATTTTCACATTCCCAACTTTGGATTCCCCACTGTGGGTCAAATGGACTGTTTTATATTCACAGTTGAATACCAAATGGGAAGGGCTGACTGTATTTATTGAAAAAAAAAGTCCACATATGAGAGGAACCTCACACTTGAAAGATGTGTTATTCAAGGGTCAACTGTATGCATAGTACGTAATACTTGATAATATACAACTGTGTTACTGGTTTATGTATTTATTATCCTATACTTTTTATTGTTATTTTAGCATGTACTCTTTAATTATAAAAAAAGGTTTACAGTAAAACAGTATGCCATGCTACACCTGTGGCATCCTCATATATACTGTGTTTACCTCATCTCTTGATTGGATTATATTATCTTGTGCTAGATTTATTGTTTTGTACAGTATCATACTATGCAGGCTTGTAGCCTAAGGCCAGTAGGTTTTAACATATAGCCTAGGTATATAGTAAGCTGTGCCATCTAGATTTGTGTAAATGTACCCCATGATGTTTGCACAAGGACAGAATTGCCTATTGACACTTCTCAGAACGAGTCTTTGTTGTTAAGTGATGCATGACTGTATTCAGTGTATTACAGAGTACAAAGGGATCTCCATTTAACTCAGAAAAATGAAAGTTAATAACTATGCTGTTCACATATCTTCTTTAATCCTTTCCTTTCTATCTCAATGCCACCATCCTAGGTCACATCCTAGGTTGCAAAGCATCTGGCTTTGATAGCGTTCTCTGTACCTCTTTTAAAAGCTGCCAGTCTCTTGAACTGATTAAGTCACTTTTTTTTTTTTCACTTTTATACAAGTGTAGAAGCTTTGTTTTACAAATTCTGTGTAATGTTTTTTCAGTTCATTAAAGACTAGGATTACTTGATAGTAAGAAATAAGAGTTCAATGCAGTAATTCTCACCCTGAGGACCTTTCAGAATCATCCGCAGATAAGGCATTTTATTTATTTTCAAGTATAGTTTTTATACAGTCGTATTGGTTATATTAGTTTCAGGTGTACAATATAGTGATTCAACATTTTTATAACTTACAGTGTGATCACTCCCACTAATTCTAGTAATCATCTGTCACAATGTGAACTTTTTAAAAAAAGGATACAGGGCAGGCTCCCTAGAATGCCCAGTGTAGGGGGCTTCTACTGAAAAGGGAGTTAAAGTAAGACTGCTGTGTTAAAGCAACTTTCGAAATTAACTTGATTTTTTATTACAAAATTTTAATATGGATTGTTACCTTAAGCATTGCCAAGTAATCTTTTCATAATCAATGAAGCTACATTCAAACGAAAGGAATTGGAGAGAGAGACTGTTGAATGGCAAAAGAGTAGTGTTCCCTGATGGGGATCATAAGAGCCTTATTATTTTTTACCACATAATTTAGGTCTTAAATGGCGAGTCTCAGAATTTAAAAATTTTTATTCATTTAAAAATGGAGAGTACCTACTATGTGCCAGTAATTATTACAGGTATTATGAATACCATGAATAAGACATCTTGGGCCCTCATGAAGCTACTATCTGTGAGGCAGTCAGCCTCCTCTCCCTCTCTCTCTGTCTCCCCCACCCCCACCTTGCTTTATACCCATTTCATAAAGCTAAAAGGTCCAAGACCCAAGAAGCAAAAGATTTTGGTCTTAGGTATCACAAAAATCCAGCTCAGAGCTTAGTACATTAGCAAAAATCTCTCCGGAACTTAGTCCAGAAGGGTTCTTGTTCTTGGGATCAGGTAATGTGGATTTTAAACAGTAGTTCTGCATTTCATTATTTTGTCTGCATTTTGTTATTTTGTGAATGGCATTGACCAAATTATTTAATAATCATGCAATGCCTTGTTTTCTTAATCTGGTTGCAGAGATTGAACAAGATTCCCAAGGTCTTGAAACTTTAAAAGGTTTTATGATTTTTATTCAGTTTCCAAAATAAGGTCAGCTGACTCTCTCAGAGGAGGTAATTAAGTGTTCCAATACCTCTGAGTTACCACAGCTGACCCTCTCAATATTCCTACTTTTCTTCATTGGTTATTCTGTTTGGTTGAATTGTTCTCATTACTTACATTTTCCTTATTTCTAGTCTAATTTTTTCATCTGTTTTCATGATTTTTATAGTTTTATTCTAGTGAGTTTTCTCTTTCCAATTTCCTTTTAAAAATTAAATTTAATTCATATAACATAAAACTTACCAGTTTAAAGAGTACAGTTTATTGACATTTAGTACCTTCACAGAGTTGTGCAGTCATCGCTTCTGTTTAGTTGAGAACACTTCTGTCACCCCCAAAGGGAACTTCATGTCCATTAAGCAGTTACCCCCCATTCACCCTTTCCTCCAACCCCCAGCAGCCACTAGTCTGCTTTCTATCTCTGTGGGTTTACCTGGTCTAGATATTTCATGTAAATGGAGTCATACAATACGTGATCATTTGTGTCTAGCTTCTCTCACTGATTATGATGTTTTACAGGTTCGTCCATGTCATATAGCGTGTGTCATTCCTTTTTATGATTGAATAATAGTCCACTTACAGATATATACCACATTTTGTTTATTCGTTCATCCATTGATGAACCCTGGTTAAGTTTTAGTGTGAAAATGAGGAAAACTCTAGAAATGAGTCAGTTCCTGAATTGATTTTCATCCTTAGTTCTACAAGGATTGTAGAGGTTGTATCGTGGTACCAGGTGTACTACCTGTCAAAACCATTATCTGCAGTTAAGTGATCAGTGAATGTGTTTTGAAGGAACTTTGGTCCATAAAAATTATTTTTTTAATTTATTCAGAAAATTTTACACTAGAAGCTTCTTACTACTTATTCTTTGCAAGTGGCTGCTTCCCAGTAACCCTTTATCATAATGAGAGAGGGCTGTGGTTCATTTAGTTTTACTGACTCTAAAGTCCACACTACTTCCCTCATTTAACACATCTGAAATGAGGATTAGGTTTACAACATATTTGTTCTTAGTAGTATATGAAATAATGGTGTACTTACAAACAGCTTAGATTAATAAAACACCATACCTGGTTCTTTGAAACCCTAACTGCCATGGAACCCACAGTACAGACAGGACAATTCCTGAGCCCAGAACCCCTAGGAGTGAGGATTAAAACCCCTGCAAGGTTAAGAAGCTCCCCAGCTTTCAGGGTTTTTGTTTTGTTTTCGTTAGAATTGGTATGCCATCCAGGGTCCTTGGGCAGATGAAACCACTCTGCTCCTCCATTTCTTCACATAGGTCTGACAGAATTAGTATATGTAGTATATATGTAGGGGAATTCTTAAACATTCATTCAGAATGGGATCCTGTCACTTCTCATCTGATATAATGTAAAATAGTTATATGAGATGAAGGTAGTTACACTGTATATAAATTTGTGCCTCTAATCTCTAGCAATTTATGAAGTAGATACTTATTTACCCTGTTTATGTTCAACTTCTTATAGTTAAAATATATGCACTATTATTTTTGCCATTATCCTCAATAACATCTGTATCCATTCATCCTTCTCGAAGGTGTGGTGTAGGATTAAAGTAGTTAGATTATAGCTCTTTACTCAACAGTTGCAGAACTCTGAAGGAGCAGGCAGAACTAAATGTCATTTTATCTTGTTTTCTGTTTGGGGGATGTTTGCTCTCTCAGTTACAGAAATTTGATCACCATTTCAACTGGATGATGACTTTTTAAGCAAAATTCTGCGCTGGTA